GACAACATAAGTAGAAAGGAAATCAGCACCTCTATTGTGATACCATACAAGGAAGGAACATCAGAAACCATACGTAGGATTCTCAACAAGGTTGGAATTAGGGTGGCATTTAAACCAACAAACTCACTTAGAGGTAAGCTTTGTCGGCTAAAAGATCCGATAGAACCAATTAAGCAAAATAATATAATCTACCAAATTCCATGTAATGACTGTGAAGTCAAATACATAGGTCAAACTAGCCGGTCGGGGTCAGTTAGATTAACAGAACATAGGAATTTAGCTAAACATAGAACGACAGACCCCAATAAGATCAATAACCTAGAAAAACACTCAGCCATTGCATTACATTCATTAACACACAACCACACAATAGGATGGGACAAAACCACTGTACTTAAGTCTAATATAGCTAGGTGGAGAGAGAGATTAATTACTGAATCTTTGTTCATCGAATTCACACCCAACACATGTAATAGGAATGACGCAACACCTATACCAGAGATATGGAAAACTTTACTACCAATCAAAAAACAAAAAAACAAAGAGAGATCAGGTGACAGGACTATAAAATCAGATGTCGAAAGAAGTGTGATTACATTGATATGATTATGAGCAATAATTTATGCTCGAAACGTAATCAAGTAAATAATACTGTATCACTGTGCGCTTTATATCAAATAAACAAATCTAATATGGAACTACATTCTACCACAGTGCCCAAGTTTTTCACTTATATTAGTGGATAACGCTCTGGAGTTTGGAGCCATCAATTGTGAGTTCGAATTCTGGTGGGAACAAAACCACTCACTGGGAGGCAGGTACATCCAGCTAACGAGTCCCAAATAGGATGAGACGCGCCTCCCGGATTCCATTACCTAGTGGATTGCATACTGTGTTCATTATAGTTGAAAAAAGTCAGTGAAATGTAGTCTCAGCTCACTCAGCCTTACGTCTTGACAATGGGTTCATTGAAGTAGTCTCTGGCTCTAGCTCCCATCTCCTTTGCTCATTTAACTGTATAACTATGTTCACCTCACAGATAAAACATTCTTTTCTACTGGTTTGTAATTTTGCCTGCCTTTATTATTCTCAATCCACTGGGTTACTTTATTTCATTACTTTTGCTTTCACTCTCAATGGATATAGCATCTAATTCATTTACTTATTAATTCTGTTATTCAGTTTTATACTGCTGATTAGAAGCTGCAAAACAGATTTAACTCATTTTTACTGTAGAAACGTTTCTTATCCCGTCTTGTATAAATGCACCAAAAAAACAAAACAAATGTAATCCATATTTTCTGCTCTGGAAATTATCCTGCCACTTTATTTCTTGTTGTTGTTCATTTCTCATGCTTTCATTATTGTACTGAAATCAGTTCTTCATATTCAGCATCACTTTGAAAGTTGTATTTATTTCATCTTTACTGCAACTGGTGTTTGTTTTTTCTTGTTTAAGTATACTTCATCTTTAATTATCACTTGAAAGAGAGAAATTAACTTTATCCAAAACATGCATCCCTTTACGCACGCATATAAGCACGTACATGTAAACATGGATGTGTGAATTTCACTTGTGAGCACCAAATCTTGTCAGTGGTATTGTTGTTGTTGTTGTTGTGACTTTCATATGTAACAAGAAAAACTTAGCAAAAGTCACATTAATTTTTCAAGTACTATGAATGTGGAAAATCACATGAATACTCCATGTCACACCTCGATATAATACTGAATGTACCTAATTGTCTTGGTCAGCTGGATCACTTCTTAAGTCATTAGTGTTCTTACAAATCTTGAAAAGGATCTCTTAAAGACTGGTGACTAATCTGCAAAAGTCTTTTGTGGATGGAGATGGAAAATTACTAGTCAGAGTAACTTAAGTACTAGCTATTGAATGGGAATCGAAGGTAGTCCTATCACACTGGCTTAGAACGTTAATAACTTCAGTTTATAAAATAGTAAAGGTGTTTTCATGCGACAACCTTAGAGGAATCAGTTTTAATAACATTATGTTTAACTTCCTAGGGTCCACAATAATAAGATGCCTAAAATGTCTAAGAAGAATAAACCTGAGGAAATCAAGTAGGTTTCAGATCTGAACAAGACTGCATTTATAAGATCATATCTTCATCCGTCAACGGGTTTCGGAGCACTCGGATGCCTATTTATATCTAATACTTGTTATTTTTGGATCTAAAGGCAGCAAACAACTTGGTTGACCGAGGTGTTTTGTGGCAGTGCCTGTCTGTGGAAAGTAAGAAGCAAGTGTATTGTGTCAATGGAACGTATTTACTCAATCCTTCACAGTCGTGTAAAGGCTTACAATGATTTGCCATTTGAAGACATAACATCCATTGGTGTCCACTGAAGACGTTCACTGTCATCATTCTCAATAAGCTTTGCTGAAGAGCATAATTTTTATATACTTCTGATTTCTTATAGTCTGACTTGCTGCCTGAAAAGCGCTTGGTTAACTTTGAGTACGTAAATGACATAACCCTGTTAGTGAGATATCCTGATGCAATGGAGTTTTTTGAACGCATTGGAAAGAGATCTGAGTATGTTTGTGATGTATTTAACATTTGTAAGATGCTACTTCAGGACTTGTCTGCACAGTTTTCTAGCCGAACGATGTGGAGTAAAAGCGATAAGTGTGTGAATGATTTCCTCATTTAGAATATTGAATCAGTCTTGAAAATCTCAACTCGGATAAAATAGTTCTGTTTCTCATTTACCGAAATAAACCTGCAATTACAAAGGTGACTGCACTGCGCAACAGTTCTTTTTATTTCCCTTCATAGGTATGAGAAAGTGACAGGTATGCGATGATGTCTTTTCGACCGACTCCTTGATTCTATGAGGTGGGGTTCTACACCAACTGATATGGCTTGGGTTTTTTTTCGTATACCAAAATGCAGCCAGTCTCGATGTGCACAGTCAGTCATAAAAAGCTCAGGTTGACACGAAATTTTCTGTCGTTGATTTTCGAATTTTAATATTCTTTTTTCAGATAGTCGAGTTGCTGGAAATCGATGCTATAGATTGTTTTTTAATATGGCTCAAAATCGATGACATTGATTCAAAGAGTGAACACTCACTTTTCATAATGTTCCTAATTTTTAACAGTAATAGTAATCTTAATCAATTCTCCCCCCCTCACAATTTGATATACTTTTACTTACCATCTTTTCTGTTTTTGATTCTTTTGTGCTATTATAAGGCATAGTAATTTGAACTGATGCACTTTTGTTCAACATTTTGAGGTAATTTGTTTGTCTACCAAGTTTATCGTTAACCAAAGGATTATATTTTGTGTATTAATGTCAGTAATCTTAATAATACCAGAGAGATCATAACACATGCAGCACTTTTCTACATGTTTCGTTGTTGACAGCAATAATAAGAAAGTGCTGAGGCAGTAATTTTTAAGAATTCCTAATAATTTCTTATGAAGTTTCAAGTACTTTATATCTAAGCAGTCATGTAATTTTTAGAAAGCCTGTAAAGACCGATTGTGAAAAATGTCGGAAAATTCAATTGATGAGCCTCGTAGCTTGGTGGCTACACTGCAAAATGATCGGTAGAATTCAGTCACCATTCAGGACTGGAGACAACATGAATTTTGTTGCTCTCCAGTGATCAATCAATGTACCTGTTGGTTTATATATTCACATGTTTGTTTCAAAATAACATTCTCTTGTATTTTGTTAGTGTACATAAATATTTGATCGACTGTTAATCGATTCCATTTGGTTCATCTTACATGCTCACCTTTTATGTATTATATTTTACAGTCGTTTTTGTTTAGAAGCCAATTTCAGTTTTCCAAGTGTATTCGTTTTCTTCTTTTTTTTCTAGAATTTCGAGGATTTTTTCGTCTTTTGTTCATTCTTTGTTTCTCTGTACATGTGTTTTTGTTACAATATCTTTTCAACCGTATTCAATTTTCTGATTATGAGTTGAAAGAACTCGAATATATTGATGTTTTTGTTAGCTTCTGTTATATTTTATTACCAGTGTATCTGGTCTTCAAAATCTACATCTTTACAGTATGTTGTTGAAATCACTCACTGGCAATGCTGATGCTTCATACAAAATGGAATTTTAATTCCTTTCCTAAATTGCTTAAAAGGAGTTTAACAGTATGTACATTCTTGTCTAGATAAAATTCATAGTGGTATGGAGAAAACAGTTTATAGATGCTATATTTTATTTTCCATGAATTTCCTCCCATCTATTTATGATTAGAGTGGGTATTGTTTCAAAATGTCTGAGAAACTATTTTCTTCGTATTAATTAAAGATACTAAGGCAGATGGTCGTCCGTAGTTGGAATTCATCATATTTATGATCAGTTCAACTTTGACGAAAGTAGACAATAAAACAAGACTTGATACATGAGTTGAATAACCTTTTTATCGGTTTTCACTTATTTGTTGCTAGAATGTGTTTTATCTTATTTTTAGTGAATATTTTAAAAGTATCCTAAGTATCACATTGTTGTATAATACTAAATCCCTTTCAAGTGTGTAGTCCTGTTAGTTTTGTTTTATGATCCTGTATGCGTGTTTACACAGAAAAGTAGTTTATATTTGAGAATTATGGCAGTTCCATTCACACCAACTGTTTGGAGAATAGTTTAAGAACTTACATTTGCTATGTTTAGTTTATATCCCTTAAATCCAGTGTATGAACACTGTGTGAATTCATTTCACATTTTAACATAACCCATACAGTTTGTTAAATAAGCTCTCTTTCAAGTTAGATCATTTATTATTCAACAACTGTATTCTATGAACTAACCTACATTTCGGTCATTTCAGTTCATCTCTATTTTATATATGTATATATATATATATATATATATATATATATATATATATAAATGCCGCGTAGATTTCTTTTTTGAATAAAATAATGCTTTACCATCACTTTCTTTTATCTCTATTTCCAGTAAAATTGTTAGAAGTAATTGAATCTGAAAAACATTTATATCTTGTTATGGAATATGCCAGTGGAGGTAAGTTGTGTGGATATTGTTCTGTTTAACCTTATTATTCTACCTTTCAACATACGTTTGTGTAATTGGTGATGAAATAATTTTTGTGTTTATATATACATACATAAGGTTAGTGTGTTGCAGTAAAAAAGCGAATGCTTGAAGAATCTCTCTTGTGTTCAAAATAATTAGCTGCATAATCATTATGCCGTACCAATGGGATCTAGATTTTTATCCCCCATTTTTATCATTCCCCTTACTACGTTGAAAACCATTGGCTTACTTAACTTTGCCAATGAAGTAGCAGAAATCATCTGTTGGTGAATGTCGATCATCAGTGTGTCTCAAAATCGTTGCCACTGGCTTAACTATTTCTTCCTATTTACCATGGGAACCGAATAATTTCTATGTCTAAATTTGGTTGTTCGTCAGTTTTTTTCTTTCTACTTTCTCATCAATATTTCTACTTTTAATTTGATTTTTAATATTTCAAGTCAGTCGTTTGACTACTAGATCTAGTAATCGTATGTAACTAATTGATCATTCATTCACAGTTAACAAATATTTGCATTCTTTGTCTCACCATAGAATGTTTGTCTGGATAACATCAAGTAGTAATTTTATTCGGATTAGATTTACTGTTAAAGCATTTGGGATACGATATAAAGCCACACTTTAAAATTTACTATCGATTATGAAAGATTTTGTCATTTTTCCGGTGTTTCGCTATTTGATTCAAAGTTAGACGTTGTTTGTCAATCAGTCAACTGAAGTACTTTGATATATTTATTGTTTTTGTTGATCGTAATCAGCATGAATTATCGGTAAAGTTATTCGCTCAACTTCATTGGACCAATCTATGGTTTATATAATCTAGTTTCGTTAGACATATTTTGAATGGTTAGAAATAATTCTCAACGATTCGCGATTATCAAGTGACACACTTTCAGCTGTCTTCATAACTTTCAACTATCACGGTACTTTGGAGTCTGTTGTATTAGATAATGACGAGTCCTAGTGAGACACTGCTACAAACCATCAATTCTTGGTTGCATATCTATCTTATTGTATGAAAATTGTGAACACTATGCAGTGCTATGATGCTGACAAAAACGTGGAATGTTTCTTCGTATACTTAGTTGAAACTGTCAATATTTCTTCAGGACTACAGGCTAAAGAATAGATATCTGCATTTTAAGGTATTGTTTTGTGTATTTTTACGTGAGAGAAGAATCGACTACAGCTGCGACAAACAGTTCAGCAAAATATCCTTCTCTAGGTCGATTGATATTTGGGTTTAAGTTGTCGATAACCTTGAAAATGATTCAGTAGATATAAAGCATTCAGAAGTATTTACAAAACCACCTTGAAGATGTCGGTACGAAGATTTTTGATTTTCAAATTAATCGGAAGACGACAAAGTACTGACCTTTTTGAAATGGGTAGGAAACAATAAGTCCATCGAAATTGACTGGAAGTTACTGTACTAGTCATGGATTTTCAATTTCAATATTCTATGAGTCATATTTTCCGGATACATTTTAGTACTTTTGTTCATTGATTTGTCACAGCGTGGAATAAATTATTTTTTTCACTCTTGAACAATGTCCAAAGTTGTATTTCCTCACGATTGTTGCAATTAGTTGTGTTTTATGAGATAACAAAGGCCTACATGTTGTGAAGGGTGCTTTGTTTCTTTGTCTGATTTAGTTGACAGTGGTGAATTTTGCAGGCAATTGAGGTTAACTGCTTATTCACTACCTCCTGTGAAATGGGGGAGCGGGGTGGTTATATATTTGGTTATTGTTAGAACACAGTATGTTGGTGCCGCATCATGTTTCTTGACTTTTTGTTGTATTCGATCTCAGGGTTCAACAAACATGTTCTTTTCCAATTGAGTTTTAATGGTGACGATAAGTGTCCTTTCCATCGAACACTCAACGTATGCAACTTTTTGTGCAGTAATTTTCATCTATGTCTTGGTTACACAGTTTGTATTGAAAGTGAAACCTCTAATCATGTACATGTGTATAGATATCACTGATTATAAAAAGTGAGGTCCACTTCGTATAAGTGCTAGCTTGTAGTTTATTATTAAACGATTGAATAACTTATTAATTCATCAGGATAATCACTTAGTTCTTGAACTTTATTCTAATCGAATATCATAGGCTTTTGAAGTAATGTAGCATCACATGGTTTTTGCCTGAATTGGTTTTCATTTAGTCGCTTCTGTATTCAAAACCTACTCCTGAATGGGTAAATACTGAGACTGGGATCGTTAATTTGGAGACTACTTACAAACTGCACGATTTATGTTGACATTTGCAGATTTCTCTCCATGAATCAAAGTGACCGAACAGAATCTAGAGACTAGTGTGAGTTGTTTCTAACCACTCATACTATTCAGCAGAATATTTAGCAAAGCTGAAATGGGACTTTATTGTTCATTTTAACTGAGAAGAATTTGTGAAAACACTTTGTTAATTGGTATCTTCTGATAAGTTGAAATTATAACAGCCGGAACTCTCAATATTCTTCATGTGCATAAATTTGTAATCACACCCTTCAAATAACGAATGAAATATGTAGTATTGATTCATGTTTTTTTTTATGGATGAAAACTCAAAAATAGTAACGAAAGGGTTATAGCACTTAGTGTTTTTTTTTTGTATATGCCTGTTTGCCTCTTGAATCAGGTCATATTTGAATTACGCATATAACCGCTGACAGTTTACATTCTGATTGCATACTGTGCATAAACTTTGCACAATGTTTTTATGTGACTGACCTTAGACGCATAGTATGTCTAGCATGATTAAATAATATTCATGATCTACATCATTTTTTGCGTGTTGTGAAGACATTGCAAAGAAAAACAACATTCGAAATGTATATTTGTTTTCAATAATCGACTCCTGTTTATTTGCATTTCCATTGATTTGTAAATTCGTTAAGTTTTCAATCTTATTTTAAAATGAATCGTCAATGTGTACAGATCAGAAAATACTTTGGAATTTTCTGAGTACTTTGAAGACCAACCTAACAACTACTGAAATGGGCATTTTGATATCCATATTGTAGCTGAAAAGAAAGTTTTTCATAAAATGCAGAAACCTGATTGACTATTTCAGTAGTTGTTCTATTGACCCTTACTCAATTTTCGATTATTATTATTATTATTGTTGTGTATACTGCATATTTTTTGCTTGGTTACATTTATCACATACCGGACTTTTTGTTTGCCTGTTGAACTCAGTAACTTAAGTGTATTTTCTCCCAGTACAATGTGACCAAGATTTCTTATGAAGATTTCCAATGTTGTGTCATGATTTGTTTAGAGTTAGCGTGGTTAGGTGAGATTTTGAGTGTCACTATAATCCTAGTAGTCATGTGTCTAGATTTCCTCAGCCGTAGCTTCAGAACTATGGCAAGTTAAAAACTTGTATATGGTCATTGCATATGTGTTATGCTCACCTGCGTATAGTTTCAATTTTGCTATCTGTAACTGAAAAGTTGGAGCTGCCATTCATTGGTTTGGGCACTTGACTTCCAATCGAGTCACATATTCGGATTATGCGCCACATACCGAGGTCTGGGCAACCACCTAGCCCTTATACAATTGGTGTGACTCAGTGCTTACTTTGTGAGGGTGCACGTAATCGCCGAGTGGATTTTGACTTTTGACTGGCAGAATAAGTACAAATAAATACATCCATACATTGTTGAAGTAGTTATCTCATGATTCAAAAACAGCTACAGTTATGCTAATGTATGCACTCATCATCAAAATTTCTTAACTTTTTTGATAACTTATATTCGTTCCTTTGGAATCCTCTCATTTACTTCGTCTATGTCAATATTATTCTTTTTTTTCTGCTGCTGTAAAGTCTAACAACTGATGAAATTATATGCTGGGTTCTGCAGGGATTTGTCTGTATATCAACATAAAGATTACAATAGTTGAATACCAGAAAGTTACTAATTGTATGACTATGACATAATGTGATTAGTTTTTTGTGAAGAAACTTTAAAAGTTACTCCGGAGCTACATAGAATCATTTGTCGGTAAAGAAAATGAATAGCTGACAGACATTCACTTCCTGCGGTGCACTAAGTAAAATATATTTTCATTCTCTTTATATAAGTTCCACTTCTAAGTTTTTTGTACTCATCGAACTAAATTCTATTCATTTTATCCTATGAATTAGCTGAAGAAGTCTTCAATAATATTGGTTCAGGGGATCCTAAGTTTAGCCTCAGAAGTACTTGAGAACAAGTATTGCTGGAGTATCCAGATCTAGAAAGAAGCGTTATGACCAATGCTACCGAGTGCTGAATAATTTTTGTGCCTGTTGATTTTAAGGTGTACAAAGTAAAGCTAATATTCTTTACATTAGCTGTAACAACACACATTAATGCCATCAACAAAGTTAGAGTACGCGTACAAGCAACTTATATACTAAATACAAACATATCAGTTGTATCCAGCAAGATGACAGTTTTCCATTTTAATGTTTCTTTTTTAGAAATGTCACAGTGAAACAGTATCATTTACTGGATAACGTTTTGGACATAATTTATTGTCCATATTGACATCATGTGATAGTATGTTTTCACAAACTCAGTGGTAATTTGTGCGCGTTATACAAGAGCTGAATGTTCTAACCTATTCTTCAGGGTAAAGCACCGGAGTTTTATACATTGCACATAAACTTCATCGCCAACCAAGATTTAGTTGTAAGAGTAAAACTTGGGCACTCTGGTAAAGTATAATTCCGCATTAGATTGTTTGTTTGCTATGGCATACAGTGATGGTGTATTATTTACTGGATGGCGTTTGGAGCAGAATTTATTGCTTATATTCATTTCAAAGTGAATATAAGTAATAAATTCTCCCCGAAACGTCATTCAGTAAATAATACACCGTCACTGTATGCCATAGCAAACAAACAATCTAATGTGGAAGATTTAGTTGTACCTAACTGACAGTTTGTAACCACGTATAATCAGGAGTAATT